ATCCCTGGAGGTAGCTTGAAGAGCCTGCACCGTGACCAACATCCCTACTATTAGTATATTTCCATTAGAGTCTGCACTTCAGTAAGTAGCTGATTCCGATCATGAACAATGTTCACCACCATGTCTTTTTTTATTGATGAAATACTGACAATTGATATACCCGTCTCTTCTTTATGTGACTTAAAAATGAAAACAGATCATTGTATGGACTGAACCTTTCACTTTCAGCTTATCGAACTAAACAGCACAACTAATTGAGTGTCTTCTATCCCCCCCTCCCAAGCTTCATAACTGGCAACTGATCAGTCGTGTAGCTTAGCCATTTAGCGGTGTACTACCTCAGTGTAAGCTTAACACAAGTTTAAACTTATGTTACAAGGTTTTTTCATAATGTACAACACAGTAAAGATAACAATCTGAAGCCCAATATTAAGCACAAAAGGCAACACCTGTGTCCAGCAGTCAACTTGTCAGTCGTCGTTCTAATAAAAACACCTATTCTAGCAACTCTGGACGCCTATTAATCAACTAGGAGGCGACACATCTCCTCGAAACACCTATTCTGAGAAAGGAGTCGTCTGAGTTGCTCTGCCAACAAGATCTCACACTGCTGACTACCACGTGCCAGACCTCCCAACCTGTGTTGCTTTGTCACACCGACGTCCACCTTCCAAATAAAACGACAACAACTATAACATATTTACCAACCCACAAGAAACAATTCACACCTTTAAGCTTGTAACTCAATTGTGGCTCAAGGACTAGATATTCTTTCCATGGGCACAATTTAAATAGAAAACAATAATAAAAAATTTGTAACTGAAGGCCCATTAAGATGGATTTTTTATGTCAGTGTTTCCCAGCATATTATTGACATAAAAATGACTTTACTGTAATCTTGCAGTGTCATTTTCTTAACATGAACCAAGGCTGTATCCCACTCGGAATATTAACAAGTGTGCGGGCGCATCCTGCCACACACAATATTTGACCGGAAACTACAATGCCCAAAACCCCCATGAGAGACTATCCTCCAATGCCGGGGGACATGTGTACTGGACTGCTCATCATCCCTGAGCATGTAAAATCCATTGGACAGGCTTAGATCCAACCACTCATAATACTGTAACACACATACCATACACCCAGTTAGCGCTGATATAAAGAGATCCACACCGAACAAGCCATAACAATTATGAGCACCTGACAGTGAACAACTCTGATTACTGGTTATCAGGGCTACCTGTCAGTGGGTGGTTATATATACTTAAAGCACCAAGTCGAACATTTGGTTCCTCCAGAGTTGATCGCGTTAGAAGCAGGAAAATTGCGCAGCGCTGAGGATTTGACGTGACTTTAACACGGGCCAACCATCTGTGAAGGCATAGACGCCCACTTGGTCAGCACGCATCATCCCAAATGCAGCTCTTGTCGGGCTGTTCCTCCGGTCTGCAGCAGGTCAGTACTATCAAAAGCTGCTCCAAGGAAGGAAAAAGAACCAGAGACAAGGTTGTCATGATGCCCTCATTGGTGAGTGAAGGACTGGCCCGTATGGTCCAGATACTATTAAGAGACGAGCTATCCTGTAGCTCAAAGTGCTGAAACAGTTCATGCTGTTTCTGATAGAAAAGGGTCAGAACACACAGTGCAGAGCAAGTCTGTTGGTCTGGGGCTGCCTAGATCTGCAGAACATTATGACCACCAGGGTGCCCAGGTGCTCACAATGTTATGGCTGATATGGTATATATATGTATGTATGAGTAAATGAGGGTCGCCCCTTGAGTAATATAGTAAGTATAGTATAAGGTATAAATAAAGATTGAATATTAGAGACACTGGCTTATATTTATGTACTAGTCGCCATAATTGTGTAATAATTATCACTATTTTTAGTCTCTTATTGTTTGTGTTCTTTCTGCGAGCATACTGTGACAAAATAAAAATCATGTCTTTTTGCAGATGACTTGCACATGAAATTAAAAAATCTGAATTCTTGGCAACATTTCAGAAATGCTGTAATAAAAGAAACAAATACAAAAATATCATAAATAAAGCATTTGAACTAAAAATGTGTTTCTGTGGAAGCATTCTGGCCGAGGAATTCCTGACCAGCCCTGAGAAGTACAAACAGGAGGCCAGGAAGCACACAGAGGAAACTGCTGCACAATCACTGGATGATATGGAGAAGGTAAATTAACAATATATGTTTTGAAAAGTTCTACAGGGGATAGACAAAAAACCTGGAACGCCTTACAAAAAAAATTCCATGAACACCTGTTATATTGGCCATTCCTTTTATATACAAAAGTGCTTTCAAATAAGAGAATCAGTCTGAATATGTGCACATAGCAAATACACTGAAACCTAAATCAGAGCTCAATGCTTGCACAGATCAACAGCTCACATATAAGCTTCACAAAGGGCTGTTGTAATGTGTTGCATTATGTTGACAATTGTTCCTGATACTCTATCTGCCCTCTGAATTCTATTTACAGTATTTANNNNATTTTTATAGTCACATCTTTGTTACACTGGTACATTAATATGACATGTTGATATTTACTGTCTTTACTTCTGATTTGGAAGAAATGGGTGGATCCTGGGAAACGCATATACCTCCTCATCTGATCTGTCCACTCACCAAAAAGATCTTTAGGGATCCAGTAGAAACAAAATACGGAAGTGTGTATGAGCGAAAGGCCATTGAAAAACACCTCAAATCGTAAGTCTATTTATTTTTGTATTCATTATTGTTATAAGGTTTCAGCACATTTGCCATAAAGTACCTCCCCAGTATTTACCTACAGTTTGTGTTTATTTTTGTAACAATAACCAGATAAACAAAAACCACAGAAGAAACCAGTGGAATTTGTGATATAGCTGTCTATGCAGGTCAGAATATACTGTATCTGTCCAAAGCTTGTTGCTTGGTTCAGACGTGAGACTTAAAATTCAGAAAGCCTGCATGACAAACTGGAAGTGTGATCCCAGACAGCCATTCATTGTAACCCCAAAAGGGAAAAAGAAATTTAAAATACAGTAAATTATTGTTCCAGTTCACTATATGTATGTGAGTTTTAGGGTAACCACTCATCAAAACCGTATCATGTGTGTAAATCAGCTTAGAGGGGTTTATTTTTATTTTTATTTTTAATATGACACTTATTACCTTGGCAATAAATGTCCAGAATCTGGAGATTAGTTTACACTCCCAGAAGCAGTGGGAACAATTTATTTGATAAAGAATCTTTTACTAAGTCTCCCTCAGTCTGTTCCAATGTTCAGATCTATACCTGAGCCTGAAACCTCAACCATTTCAGAAAGTAAGCCAGCAAGGTTAAAATCTGTCAAGCTTCCCTCCTCTTTTTCTGCTAACTGAACATTGTTTTACAGAAACAGTCATGATCCACAGGACCCAGAACAACTGCTAACCACAGCTGATCTTAAACCAGCACATGACATGAAGAAAATGGTGATGGATTATCGCTCTAAACAACTTCAGTAAACGTTGGAGCTACGCTGCCCTTTTACATCACTTTGACAAATAAACACAAAATGTCATCAGGAAAATGTGGAAATAGGAAAAAGTTAACTGTTCCACTAAATGCAAGTTTATGTTTTGTTCTGTTTATGCCTTAAGAAATGTAAATGTAATCCTTTATTTTACTATTAATTACTTTGAGTTATACAGAATAATAGTATAGTTATGGCAAACTCATACGGACTTTGATTTCAATTATGTAGAACAAAATAAACAGATTAAATAAGTTTCATATTTTAGAAATTTATTTTATGCTGTAGAGCTCATTCTTATAGACTTTCACATTCAGCACAGATGTTCCACCACCAGCAGTCACAGGATTGTAATCTACTCTCTGATTGACAGCAATAAACAGGCCTGTAATTCATATATTCATCTATGTCTGAGAAACACAATGTTTTTTATCTGTAACTCATACTGTTCAATTATATTTTTAACTGTGTGACAATAATTACTGATTGATCCTTTACCCTGAACAGAAATTGATGATGTAATGATGATGATTCACGTGGGATGGGCAGTGAAATTTCTTCTCATGTAAAGAACGGAAGCCAACATTTAATTAAGACTAAACCCTACAGTTCTCCAACAGTGAGCTTTATTGAGCTTTGTATGTAAGCTGTCTCAATCTGCCATATTACTTATACTCCCGTTAAATCGGAATACAAATTTATAAAATGAAATTAAACTGAGCAAAAACTGTTGATTGTGTTCAATTCACCTCTTTACTTCAAAAAAAGTGGAGCTGATGCTGGTGTTGTGATTGCACTATAATAATCTGGTCAGATATCACAAATTAACATGAAAACTAAAAAGGTGTCTTTTTGTACAAACAATGCAATGCACAAGTTAAAAGAAAAATATTTTTATTCACAAACAATCACAGGTCTCTCTTAGTGTCCAGATGTTTCTCATCTTACAGAACTAACAGCTGTCATCAGTGATTTTGGTTGTGAATATTTGAGCAAATCAAAAGGTTGAATAATAATGACAGACATAATTTTATATAAAAGAGATGTTCCAAAGTTCTTCACAGGCCAGTAAAGACAATATATTAAGCAAAAACACAAAAATAAAGCAGGAATAATACTAATTGTTTTTAAAAAAATATTTTTCCTTTATTCCTGTGACATTTTCCAAGAATATTACACAATCAACATTCAACTCTGCTCTATAGTGGCCCACATTCAGAAGTTACACACATTTTTTACTTTGGTAAAAACTACAAGCTCTAAATATATATTATATATAAACATATAAAGTACTCTCTTGGTTTCTCTGAAGGATTTCTACCGATTGTTTCTGTGCAAAGTGGAGTCTCCCTTTCTTGTCTGTATCGTCTTAAGTTATGTTTTTTTACGTCAGTCATGTGTGACGTGCACCATTCTCGAAGGTGTATATACTGTCAAAGATTAAAGCTTAAAACTAGATACCTAACTGCATTTTATCGTCTTAGTGTTTGTACTAAGTTGAATCTAATCTTATCAAATCTTATCTAAATAAAGCATGAAGTACATTTGATACTTGGCACATTTTGCTGATGATACTTAAAGCGCCACCATGAGGTCAAACAGGAGAAGTTACCTGCTATCATCATCCAGTTTACAGTGAATACAAATGTAAAGCTCTCACATACCTTCAGTCTGTACTGACTGCATGAACCTTTAGAAAAACACATTTTGAGACTAGAACATTGTCTACCAGAGAGTTCAGTGCTTATTGCTTAATTGAATGAAAGGGATGGATGAGACAGGGTTGAATATAGTACCAGTTACTAAAGAATCAATGTATGCAATTAATGGTTTATAAAATGGCCTCTGTTTAATGTGGAAGCTGTTTTTTTTTTCTTTTTTTAATCAACCAGGATGTTTTTTCTGGAGGTACCTAAGTTCTGTCATTTGGTAACTGGTTCACAGAATCAAAGATTATACATATCAGCATGGTCTTCAGGATCGTCCGTCTGTACTGGAAGATATTCTCTCTCTTGTCCT